CGAGCATGACCACCCTCAGTAGGACCTGAGTCACCAGTGACCTCAACCGGCGCAGACAAGGGAGGAGGGTCTACCTGAGACACACCTGAAGGAGCAGGACCGGGAGCGGGGAGGGGGTCTACCTGGGGAGCACCTGGAGCGAGGAAGAGCGGCGGGGGGGGGAGAGGGGCAGTGCGGTAGGGGAAGAGATGGTAAAAGGGAACCGACTCGTCGAACGTGGCGTCCTGGGAGGGGAAGACACAGCGCGAGGTGGGGTGGTAAAACTGCCAACCAGGCGCGTCAGGGACAAAGCCAAGGAAGACACAGGGAACAGCGCGGGCGGAGAGCTTGTCCACGGTGGTATCGCGGACAAAGGCACGAGCACCCCAGACCCGGAAACGCGACGCATCGCCAACCTTCCCCGTCCACAGCAGTGTGGGCGAGGTCTCCGGCAAGGAGACACGGGGCCAGAGGTTGAGCTGATGCGCGGCGTACCGGACCGCAAACGACCACAGAAAATGGGAGGCAGCCGCATGGATCATGGAGGTACGAGCGACCTCCATGACTAAGCCAATGCGGCGCTCAGCAACCCCATTCTGCTGCGGAGAGGCCGGAAGCGTGAACGTCTGGCGGATGCCGTGCTCCGCACAGAAGGCTGCCAAGAGGTCGGAGGAAAACTGTCAGAGTGCAGACGCAGGACGGGAAACTCTGTCCCGAACCGCTCGCGGAGCTGGAGACGAGTAGCGCGGATCCAAGGAATCAAAACATCAGGGACCTCACCCTTGGTGCGCAAGGGGAAGACCGTGGTGTAGCGCGTGTAGTCGTCGACGACCAGCAGGAAGTACTGCTCGTGGCCCTGTCCACGGACGCGGGCTGGGCCCCACACGTCCAGGTGGAGAGTCTGCAGGGGAGCCTCTGTGGGAGGGAACGAGGAGGAGTGAAGAGCGGCGCGCTGCCGCCCCTCGACACAGGGAAGACAGGGAGGAGCAGGCGAGGGTGGGAGGGGAGGGAGAACCCTGGGAAGACCAGAGATAAGGACACGGCGGTGCATGCTGCGAAGGCGCTGCACCGAGGGGTGACCAAGGCGGTGGTGCCAAAGGAGGGTCTGGTGCGACAAGGCGCGACACGAGCAGGGGGCTGACAACTGACCTGGCGCAGACGCAGACGCAGCTACCTGAGGGGACGCAGTGGTCAGTGTGTATAGGCCCGACCCCGGCTGCCGAGTGAAGGTAGCCAGGTGACGACCCGTGTGAGCACACGTGCAGTGTGTCACACGCTCGTAGGCAGGGGTCTGCAGGGGCGGCGCGCGGGCCTTACGGGCCTGTAGGGGCGGCGCGCTGGCCTAGGGCAACAGTAGGGAGCGCGAGGGCTGCAGGACGGCGCGTGCAGCGCAGCACGTCACAAGGCAAGGCAGTCAACACGTGGGGTAGCGTGGTAAACGCAACGGTAGGTGGGCCCGGAAAAAAAAGACGGTCCTACGGACCTAGTGCTCTGAAACCATGTTAGAAACTAGCAGCAGGGATGAATGAACTATGAAAAAGTTGGGTACAAGTATGAAACCCTAAAAGGGGCTGTACCCCATATTGGCTACCCCACTACAGCCTAAACATATATAGCATATATATACTTTGACACATGCTCACATTGTACATGCTCGTTGGGGTGGGGTTTCCACTCAACTGGAAGAGCTCTGAACTGGAAAATTCGGGCAAAAGCTCTGAAATGAAGAATTTGGGAAAAACATATGGAACGGAGAATACGGAGGGGGAGGGGGGGGGGGGACTCTGAAATTGAGAACTTTGAAGTGAAGCATCGCAGCAAAAGCAGAGGACTAGAGGAGGCGTTAGAGCTCTCTCTCTCTCTCTCTCTCTCTCTCTCTCTCTTGCTCTCTCTCTCTCTCTCTCTCTCTCTCTCTCTCTCTCTCTCAAATGGTCCTTTGTATTAATTCAGCAGGGGGTACAGACATGCAATTTGACTCGTGGTTCCCTTATACCTTCCGACCCATCAACCCATCCCTCTGACCCTCCCCCCCCCCCCCCCCCTTAGTGCCCCTCTAACCCTCCAGCGTGTGGAGGATGTCCCCTAGGTGCAGCGGCCATGGGTCCGCTGCCATCTGGGGGTGCGCTGCCTCAATCCCCGCCCTGGCCTTGGTGTGCAGGGCATTCGCCTGGGAGCGCTGGAGGGCCACTGACCAGCGCTGGCTGAAGTGGCAGGCCATCTTCTTGGCCGATTTCGCCAGGGGGTTGGCCCTGAACCGGTTCCTAGCTGCTGCTGTGGCCAGCAGCTTCAGGAACGCCGTCGTGGGGGGCGCGTTTGCCCCATAGGTCTCGACGGCCAGGGCGCAGAACACCACGTGTCCTGTGTGCCGGTAGTAATCCCTTTCCTTCCGCTTCTGAGCCTCACTTGCAGCCCAGCCTGGGGGTTTGCGGGCTGTGGGGTCCCGGTTCTGCAGCACAGGGTCGGTGATAGTCGTGTCTGTGATCCAGGTCTCTCCACTGTCTGGGTCACGCACCATCACATCGGCCTTCTTCGGGTCATCCGGTGGTGAGTACATTGCATTCTCCAGGTATACCACCAGCTGCGCCTCCCTCGCCATTTTTGCCATGGCAAAGGCCAGCTGATTGTGTGTGCGCGTTCTGTCCGGGCCTGTGCTGCAGCGGAGTAGGTGGTTGGGTAGGCTGCAGTCGGCCACGAGCTCTCCACACTCGCACACAGTAGGTACGTTCTGTCGGATGCCCATGCGGAAGGCCAGGGCTGTTCGGAATTGCCCTGGTGAGAAGCAGAGGTCTGGGGTCAGGGGTAGGGCTTGCAGCCATGCTCCCGCTCCCTCGCCTCTCTGGTTGGCGAGGCGGAGCGTGTGGCCCGTCTCGGGGGCTGACCTGATTGAGCGTGATTCCTCTGTCAGGGTGTCGGCCTTTGCCGCGTGCACTTCCTGAGAGAGGGCCCGCTGCAGCTGGTCTTGGGACGGGGTTTCTTGCTCCTCACGGAGGTATTGCAGCGCCAGCGGCGGCAGTCGTCCCTCCATGTCTTGGATGGTGACCGAGTGTGCCGCAGACGGCTGCAGGGCGTTGCTGTTGCTCCCTAGCGCCGCGGTTGCTGGCAGGTCGAGTGAGCGGAGCAGGCGTAGTGCCTCTGTCGTTGAGGCCAGGTAGGCTGGTGCTGCTTCTGTTGTGGGATCCGTGAGGCCCAGTCCACCTAGGGCCACTGGGAGGGTTGCTTGGCGGATGAGAAAATTGAACTCGGCTTCGCGGCGGGGTGGTTGGATGCTGGCGGCAGTCAGGGCGGTGTTGAGCAGTTCGGCGCACCACGCGTGCCATTCCGAGAGGGGAAGGACATCCGCTGGGGTGGTGCGCAGCAAGTAGCCGATTCTGCGGCTGATGCAGCGGGACAGGAGCAGGAGGGCATGCTGTGGATGGATGGATGCTAGGGAGCCCAGGGGTGCCGCCGCGTCTGTCAGAGTACTGCGGACCAGGTCAGCGCAGAAGCGCTGTGACCCCACGGGACTTCCCAACACCCGTACCCCCTCGTGGGTGAGTGGGAGGCCCTCGGGGAGCTCGTCACCCTCAAGCGGCGTCGTGGACCACGCCGACGATTTTCTGAGGTTGCGGGTGAGGCCATCCTGGGCGAGCAGCGGCGTCAGCAACTTAAGCGCGCCGAGCGTTGCTGTCGCCGGTCCGATCATGGTGATGTCATCTGCGTATGCTAGGATCGTGACTTCTGGGTGCTCTGCTGCTGTGCGTCTGAGGTGCTGCTGGATTGATGCCGCGAACAGCAGGGGTCCGAGGGGGTCCCCCTGCCTCACCCCCCTTCCGCTGGTAAGTGCCGTCGTGCTCAAGCGGGGATCGGTCAGCAGCTGAGAAGGCGTTGCGTAGAAGGAGCGGGTGAAAGGTATGAGCGGTGCTAGCGGGGTGTTGGTGAGTGCGTTGAAGAACGCTTTCCTCTCTACGGAGTTGAAAGCGTTTTCAATGTCGAGTTGGAGGACTAGGCTGGAAGGTTGTGAAGTGGTGAGGTCTCTGACTGCATGTATAACGAACTCAGCTCCGCCTGGGACTGCCACACCGAATTGTTGGGGTAAGAAAAATCGCCTTGTTTCTCCTTGCAGTTCCGAGAGTGCCACCTTTGCTGCCAACCGGAGTAGGGATTCCCCTATTGCGATAGGGCGTACCCCCCCCCCTGGTTTCGCGAAGGCGATGAGGCGGGATGGCGAGAGTAGTGCTGCAACCTCGGTGGAAAGATTCGTGGTGAGAAGATGTGTTACGGCGGAGTGTAGGTGCCCCAGCACTTCGATGTTGCTTAGGGCTGGGTCGCGGTAGTGTTCAAATGTTGACCCGGATGGACCAGCCCCAACTCCGCTGGGGCAATCCCCAAGGACGTCTGAGAAACTTTCCACGGTGCATGAAAATTGCGTGGGTGTTGTGTAGGTGTGGACCCAGTCGGGCAGCTCAACTTGGGGTTGGGGATGTTTCAATTCCAACTGCTGTAATGTTGCGATCGTCGCAGGGGCCGCTGTCGAGGGTGAAAGGGCTGCCAACGCTTTTCGCAGGTTACCCCGTTTCACCAACCCCTCCACACGTGAGCAGATTCCCAGGGGGTCGTTTTGGTGCTGAGGTGGCTCAGCTTGGTGCAGGGACCCCACGTAGTCACTGTAGAGCTGGTTCCAGTGGCCACATCTGAATAGGTGCATCTGCTCTCGCAGCACCTTCCACTTAGAGCTGGACCTCCTGCTAAGTCGTAAGGTGAGACGTGGCAGGAACATGAGGACCCGCCACGCTCCCGCACAGTTGGGCAGTTTGGAGATCCGTAAGAGGGCGGCCAGCATACAGGTGGAGTAGTCGCTTAGTATCTGCGGCGGCAGGCGGCGGACGATAGGCAGGTGGGTGGTTGACGTTAGGGCACCCTCTCTCTCTCTCTCTCTCTCTCTCTCTCTCTCTCTCTCTCTCTCTCTCTCTCTCTCTCTCTCTCTCTCTCTCTCTCATGCCCGGCTCTGATTCCTACGCCCTCTATGCCGCGCCACCCTACAGGGATCTGAGCTCCAACCGCTTCAGTGGCTCTATACCCACAGAGATGACAGATCTCATTCAACTCACCCTCCTGTACGCCCCGCTCTTCCCTCGCTCCTCCCATGTATCTTACATCCCATGCCGTTCGCATGTCCTTCCCATTCGCCTCCTTTGTTGTGGTGTGGCTCCGCGTCTTTCTCTCTCTCCCCAGCCCCAACTCACTCCACCACCATGCACACACAGCCACACCCGAATCACACACCCATACACAGCTTGTCCTAAGATGACCTGTTCAAGCCCATCGCATCTCCTCATTTCCAATCTCATCTCCCGCTTTTACCCCAAACCCAACCACCCGCCTCCCTCACCTCCACCCCAAACCCCACCCCAATCCCCATGGCCATGCCCACTCACCCAGCAACCTGCGCAGCAACCAGCTCACAGGCTCCGTGCTGCAGCCCATCCCCCACGGCATGCGACAGTACCAGCTCGACAACAACTACTTCTCCTCCGCCTTCCCCTCGCAGCCACCCTGCCCTGCCGGCACCATCATAACCACGCGCAGCAACTGCGCAGTAGCAAAGGACGGCAGCCCTGCTCCCACCTTCTCGTGTCCCGAGGGATTGGACGCGCAGAGGCGGGCGGAGGTGTGCCGGGCGTTCTGCGGGCTGTCGAGTGAGAGCCTGCCGTGTGGCGGGCACGGTGTGTGCTTCTTTGATGGGCCGAATCGTGTGCCCACGTGCGCGTGCGATAGTGGATACACGAATGGAGGCGTGCCGGGGTCGTGCGTGCCTGATGATGGTGCGTACAGGTGTGGGGTGTGGTGGGGAGCGGTGGTGTGCTGTAAGGTGGTGAGCGGTGCAATGCTGTGGTGTCCAGTGATATGAGGCAACACGGCTGCAGCGTTTTAGTGGTGGTTTGATTGGAACCGGACCTGGTTGGTTGCTCATCAGTCTCATTTGACTCTCGAAAAATCTCAAGCGATTCACATACAGCTGGCATCTTAACCACTGTCGGTTCACCTCGTCACATCCCCACATCTTCCTCCCTCCCCCCCTTCCCCTTCCCCATCCACCCTTTCCTCCCTCCCTTGGCCCATGTGCCCACCCTCCTCTCCCTGCATTGCAGGCTCTCTCCCATTCATCAACACCACTTCAGACTCCTCCCCACCGACTTCTCTCTCCCTCAGCGGCTCCGCATCCCTCCTCCCCACCGCCGCCATCCTCCTCTCACCAGCCCAGCCCACCAACTGGGGCGCCGCCTTCTTGCCCCAGCCCATCCGCCTCTTCTCCATCGCAGTTCTCTCTTCCTCCTCCTGTGGCCGCGCCCTCCCATTCTCCACCTCCTTCGCCTTCACCATCGCTCTTTCCGACTCCTCTCCGAGCCCTCCTTCTGCTAATGCATTCGCTGCTCTGGCGTTCGTTGTCTCCGCGACTGGTGCTGTTGCTGGTGGCACGAGCAGCAGTAGCAGTGGGTCGTACCTTCCTGAGTCTGAGCACAGCATTGCAGTGGTCTTTGATGCAGTGCCAGCCAGTGCCAGCAAGCCAAAAGGCATCGTCTCCATCCAAGTCAAAAGCTCCACCAGCTCCAGCAGCAGCACTGGGTTCACCTCAATAGCCACAGCCACCGCCCCCTCGCCGCTCAACGACGGCTCCCCAAAGTACGCCTGGATTGACTACCACCCCTCCTCTTCCTCCGCTGCCGCCGCCGCCGCCGCCGCTGCTGCAGCTACTGGCTCTCTGCGCGTCTTCCTCTCCTCCAGGCCCTCCCCACGGCCGTCCAAGCCCGTGCTGTCAGCGCGCATCTCCCTGTGCGCGCTGCTCCAGCCCACTGAGAGCGCCTCTGCTTTCTTCCTCGGCTTCGCTGCTGCCTCTGACAACCCCCCGCTCGAGCTCACACTGCTGCAGTGGAGCATTGCTGCAGGTGATGGGCTCTGCTGGGGGAGGGAGGGGGTGGGGGAAGGGGAGGAGAGCTGGATCAAGGGGGGGTGGGTGATGGGACTAGGGTAACAGATCGAATGAGGAGGAGAACAGAAGGAGAGGCAGAAGTGGTGGATGGGTTTCAGGAGGGTGGTGGGCAGGGGGGAGCAGAGAATAGGTCGTTTTGATAGTGGCGAGAGTTGGGAAGACGTGGCGCATTTGCTTTCATGCACTCATGCTGTCTCATAGATTGATGTTTTTTGGTTTCTCCATTTCCTCTCTGCCCACGCACATGCAGGCCTCCAAAGCGTACCAATTGACTCAGGTAACACAACTCTACTACCCCCATTCGTCCTCCGTCTCCTCCTCCCTCTCTTCCCTCCCCTCCTCCCTCTCCTCCTCCCTCTCCGCCTCCCTCTCCTCCACACTCTCCTCCACCCTCTCCTCCTCCCTCTTCTCCACCCTCTCCTCCTCCCCTCCTCCTCCTCTCCTCCAACCTCTCCCCCTCCCTCTCCTCGTCCCTCTCCTCTTCCGTTCTTCACCATTCACTGTCGCATGCACCACCACGGCAACCACCTGCTCCATTCTTCATCACTCTCTCTCCCTCCACACACTCCCTCAACACACCCATTCTACTCCTTCTCCCCATCCTTCCCACCCCACCTCGCCCACATCCCCACAGCCTTCCTTCCCACTGGGCCTGACCCTCTCAGACGACTCTCTCTCCCCGCCTAACAAGTTTTGAGACGTCTCAAAACTCAAAAACCACATTCATTCTCTTCCCATCCTCCCACCCCGCCCCACCGCGCCCACATCCCCACAGCCTTCCCACTGGGTCTCACCCTCTCAGACGACTCCCTCTCCCCGCCCCACGTCAACCCCTTCTTCCGATACGCCAGCGCCGGCGTGCTGCCCCTGCACCCCAACGGGGACACCAGCAGCAGCAGCAGCAGCAGCAGCAGCAGCAGCGGCGGCGGCGGCGCCAGCAGCAGCGGATCCGGCACAAGCGATGCGCAAGACACCGAGCCAGAGCAAACGTGGCTGGTCTCCCCCTCGTCCTCCTGGTTCCGCCCCGACCTGCTCTGGCCCGTGAGGCAGCAGCAGGCGTGTGGCGACTGCTGGGCGTATGCGGTGGTGGGCAGCATAGAGGCGGCCTACAGCATAATGGCGAACCTCTCGGTGGCGCCGCAGCTGTCAGCGCTGCAGCTGCGCTCCTCCATGCGCGCCGACTGCCAGGGCGGCTCGCCCTCCCAGGCCTTCGCCTTCCTCCTCAAAGCCGCCCGCTCGGGGAAGGGCGTGGGAGGGCTTGTGGAGGAGAAAAGAGCAGCTGTGGCGGAGGGAGGAAGGGGGCAGGGGAAGGGGAGGGCGGCTGGGAGAAGGCTACGGGGAGCAGAGGGAAAGGCGGAGCGGTGGGGCATGGGGACGAGTGAGGGTATGGTGCGTTCGGTGGTAGAGCATGGACATGTTAACCCAGACGGCGCTAGCGTTGCAGCAGCTTTTCCAACAGCTGCAGCCATTGCAGAGGGAGGAGCAGCAGCAGAGGGGGCACGAAGGCAGCTGGCAGGGGGCACGGGCAGTGGGCTGTGCTCGCCTGTGTTTGCAGTGCTGAGGAAGCTGTTTGGCATCACTTGCAAGAGCGGTGTGCCGGTGAGTGCGTGCTCCCCACGCATGCAATTGTTGAGGTGGTGGGGGGCAGGGTTGGGGGGCAGGAAGGGGGAGGACGGGAGGAGGAATGGAAAGAGGGGGTGGTGTGACCATGTGTGAGTGCGCATGCACATGCATGGTGCTGGTCTTGCTGCACGCAAGTGCTGATCAGTCAGATCACTCCAAGTGCTCTGCTCACGACCCTTTCTCTTCCACATGTTGTGTGCTTCAATGAATCCCACATGGCACGTGTCTCGTCTGCCGCCGCCTCGCATCCCACGTACGGCTCATTCCCGCCCCTGCCATGCAGATGGGAGACAAGGAAGAAGAGGGCGTTTCTGATCAGCGGCGGTGAGGTGATTTCTGAGTCGATTCAAAAGCCTTTTCACCTCGCGTGTGCCACCCATTCCCGCCCCTGCCATGCAGATGGATACCCGAAAGAAGGGCTTTCAGATCAGCGGCTTTGAGCGCACGTCCTTCTACGGCTGGTTCGGCCTGCTGCTGGCCGTGCAGCGCCAGCCAGTGGTGGTGCACATAGAGGCGTCTGCTGAGTCGTTCAAGCAGTATGACGGGGTGAGCAAGCGCGTGCGGTGAGTGCAGAGGTAGAAGACCAGGGCCTCACATGCCAGGGGCTAAACCCGCGTTGCATGCCCTTGTCCCTGCCAGCTGTCCAAGTGATAGCTCCCGCCCTCCTCTGCGCCCCTGTCTCTCACTCTCTCTTTAGGGCGTGTAAAATTGTAATGAATGAACAAAATGGTTGACCGTTAGGGTGGTTCTGGTGATTGCGAGGTGTTAGGGTTACGCATATTTGAGTAGTCACCTCGATTTTGACCGAGTTGCAATGGTATTTTTTGGCATAGAAATGAACACACCGCATTTCCGAGTTACGCATTTCATTGGTCGTCACAGTTTTACACGCCCTTATTTCTGTCTCTCCACCTCTCTGCATCTGTCGGCCTTTGTGCGACGCTATCTCATCCTCGCTCACCCCAGCTGTCCAAGTACCAGGACCCAGCGTGCTTCACGTACAACCTGAACCACGTGGTGCTGCTGGTGGGGTACCGCCTGGTGGGGGCGGACGACACTGCTCCCCACATGGCGCCGCCCTTCTGGATCATCCGCAACTCGTGGGGGGCGGACTGGGGCGATGGGGGCCACATGCGCATGGACATCCAGGGGGGGGATGGCGTGTGCGGCATCAACACTCTGCCGGGCCTCTATCCTGTTGTTCAATGTGAGTTGGTTTGCATTGAATGGACTGGGACTGGACTGGACTGGACTGGACTGGACTGGACTGGACTGGACTGGACTGGACTGGGGTGGGGTAGAGTCAAGTGGAGTTGAGTGGAGTCCCTCAGTCCCCCTCCAATAGAAGCATTCCTATCCTCCTGTGTTAATAACGCTTTTGCCACTCTGTTGGTTCCTGTGTTCCTCTTACTCTTACCCTCTCATGCCTCCTGCTCGCCGTTGCGGCCTCTCAGTTTCCAACCACAGCGTCTCTTCACAGCTTCCCTTCCTCTCCCAACCCCACAACTTCTCCTCCCCCTCCCCACACTTCACCCGCTCTTCTGAACAATGAATCCCCCAGCGTCACGCGACCCGTGCAGCACGCGGTTTCTCCCCTTCCCTCCCTCACCCCTTTTTCTGAATCCCCCAGCGCCACGAGACCCATGCAACATGCAGGCGCGCAGGGGGGCGTTGGGTCCGGTGCTGAACCCGTGCGGCAACTTCACGTGCCGCGTGCAGGGCACCACCAACCGCTGCGACTGCACTGACCCCCGCTTCGTGGAGGCGCTCAATGGCGACGGCTCACGCACCTGCGCCTATGGTGAGGGTGGGGGGATGGAGGGGGTCATGGCAAGAACACGTGCTCTTTGTGGGTCCGTGCTCTTTGTTCTGCGCTGCGACTGCACCGACCCCCGCTTTGTTGAGGCGCTCAATGGCGACGGCTCACGCACCTGCGCTTATGGTGAGGGTGGGGGGCTGGAGGGGGAATGGGAGTTGAGGGAGGGGAAAGGCGGGGGTGAGGGGGAGGGGTATGCTGAGGGTGAATGGGGTTGTGGTGAGGCCACGTGCTGTTAGTGAGCCCCTGCTGATGTCCTCTGTTGTCAGGGCGAAGGGCCAGGTGTAGTCCTCGCTGCCGTAAGCCTGCTTGATTTTCCTCTGCAGCTGCTGTTACCGCTATACATGCGACGTATTGGACTTGTTTTTCTTATGTTTTCCTGCAGTGGACGTGTGTCGGGCGTCGTTTCGCAACCCGTGTGCGGTGGGCACATGTGTGAATGACGGGGCGGGGTCGTACTCATGTGTGTGTCCACCGGGCTTCAGGCAGGGCACCACAGTTGATGGCACTTACTCCTGCGCTCCAGGTACCTTTTCCTGTTCTCCTCCTCCCCTCCACCCCTTTCTTATTCCGTCCTCCTCATACATTCGGCCTCGTCCATTCTCTTCCATTCTCCCCCTATAATTCACTCTCCTCTTTACCCCCGACACACACCCCTACCAGGCGACACCGACGGCACCTACACAGTTCTCTCCCTCGGCCTCACGTGTGCCGCCATCCACCCCGTCTACGGCCTCACTCTACCGCAGTTCACCGCACAGAACCCGGTACCACCACCCTCGTTTGGCGCTCTGCCGCTCCCAGCTCCTCTCCCATCGCCCCTGAATGGACCTCGTGCTCCCTTTTCATGGTTTTAGAGGCTTTCTCTCTCCACCCATGTCTTACCCTTCCCTCTGTCCGCTTAACCTGATCGCCTGTCTGATATCCTTCTTTCCAGTTCATCCCCTGTCCTCTCCTCTCCTCTCCACTCATCTCCTCTCCTGTCATCCTTTCCCCCCTCCCCTCCCCTGCGCTTTCCAGAATGTGGATTGCAGCATGCCGCTGCCTCTGAACACGCATCTCAACGTCACACCACCTGACGGCCTCACTCCGTGCTCTGTCTTCTACACCACTGACCAGGTGCGCCCCCGCACCTTCCCCTGCTCTCACTCTCTTCAAGATTTGTGTCGAATCCTGCATGCAGGTCCCCTGTAAAGATCAGCAGGTGCACTGCTGCAACGTCTCCCTGTTTGTCACTGCTCATGTTCTTGTGCTTGCCCTTGTGCTTGAGCTTGTGCGTGTTCTTGCCATTGCGCTGTCGTTTCATGGTTTCCCACCAGGTAGTCTCAGCCTCGTGAAACTCATGGTCACAAAAAGCACATGCGGACATGCAAACACATGCACATTCTGCTGCTGGACTTCCATCCACTTTCTCTTGCCACCCCTTACATCTTCCACTCACAGGGTGACACGTGTGCATCCCTAGCAGCCTACTTCCAGCTGACCAAGAGCTGCAATCCCAGCGGCACCCCGTGCATTGAAGCCCTGCTCGCTCTCAACCCCGGGCTCAACTGCACCGCACTAGACAGTGGGGATGGTGGTGGGGGGGGTGGTGGCGCGGGTGTGGGTGGGGGAGTAAGTGGGGATGGCCTACAGCCGAACCAGGTGGTGTGTGTGGAGCGGCGGGGGGAGAGAGACGCAGCAGCAGGGGGGCAGGTGATCCCGGTGTGCTCGCAGTACTACCTGGTGCAGAGCGCAGAGACGTGCGAGTCCATTCGCAACGTGCCCTCCCCGCCGCTCTCCCCGCTCGACTTCTTCCGCCTCAACCCCGGCATGCGCTGCTCGCGCCTCGTGCCCAAGACCTCTGCAGACAGCTTCACTGGCTTTGAGGTGTGACCATGTTGTCATGCGGGTGCACATGTGTCTGGGTGTACGTGTGTGCAGCTAAGTGCGTGAGGGTGCGTTTGTGTGGCTGCCATGCTATGTTTTTTTCGTACTGTTGCATGTTTGAATGCGTCAGCGTGTATGTATGCATGTATGGGTGTGTGTGTGGGGGAGGGGAGAGAAAATGCATTGGATGTTTGAATGAGCACGTGCTGGTGCCTCTCAGTGCATCCATGCCCCAATGACTCACATATCTGCTTCCCCTCTCCCCCTTCCCCACTCGTCAATCTCATACTTCCCTGCTTTCCTACCTGCACCTGGTCCATACCATGGCTTGCCACTCACTATTTAATCCTTGCCCCTCACCCCTGTTCCTCTGCTTTCAAAATCTCAATTCCTGCCTCTTTTCCTGTTCGTTCCCATTAAACAGGCATGCATACAGAGCCAGTCAAGCTACACGGCTGGAACCTGTCCATTCTCCAACTTCTACATGGTTACAAACAGTGATCGCTGCAGCATGGTTCAGGTCAAGTATTTCCGAGGGATCAAGGGGTGCTACAAGAAAATCAACGGCTATGATTGTCTGGACAAACTGAAACAAGGGACTCGCATATGCTTGCCAAATAAAAACAAGCTGAAGAATGGCAAATGTAGCATCTGAGTGGATTATTTATGTGATATAATTGCATACGCAACTTTTTCTGTAACGCTGTCGCGTCTCGAATCCGACCGCATTTGACTCGCACCATCATCACTCCCTCCCCATGACGTGATTTGCGTGTGACTAGTTTCCTTTCCACCATCATCCCTCGCCACGCCATGTAAGCGAATTCACAAATATCACTCTTCCCATGCTCCGCCTCTAGTCGACTCCGCCAGTAGGTCCCGATGCAGGGGTCCACATCTCGCCGTGCGCGCCAGCCTGCGCTCTCCGCGTCCTCTCCGCTCTCCTTCTTCGCGCGCTTCTTCTCGCTCTTCCCCTCCTTCCGCCGCAACCCCGTGCGCCACTCGCTCATTCTGCTCGGCGCGCTTCTCCTCCTCGCGCGCCACCTCGCGCACCGCACCTCCCCCCACGCGCGCAAGCTGCAGGCGCATCTCTCCTTCACCCGCCAAACTTCCGCAACCGCCGCCGCCGGCACAGCCGCTGGCGGATCCGCTACCGCTTTCAGCGCTGTCGGCGGTTCAAATTCCGGAAGCTCCGCAGGTTCCGTAAATGACGGAGAATTAGAAACTCTGGGGAAGCGGGGAAGCTTGGGGACAGATGGCGCGGGGAACGGGGCTGGCGGCGGGGTGGGGGAAGCGAGGGGAGCGGGGGAAGCGGAGGGCGCGGGGGAGGTGCGGCTGTGGAACGGCGTGATGATGCCGCGGTTGGGGTTTGGGACGGCGGGACTGGGGGAGGAGACAGAGAGGGCCGTGGGGTGGGCGCTGGAGGCTGGGTACAGGTGAGCGCAGGCAGCGGGGGGGTTCGGGAGAGCAGGCAGGCAGACTGTTTTAAAGTTGGCTCAACGAAACGGGCAGACGAGTGGGACGAGGTAAGGAGCTGTGAGGTGAGGTGAGGTGAGGTGAGGTGAGGGAGGCATGTGTGGGCGAGCTGGGTGCCTGCGCCCTCACCCGCTCCTGGTGCTGCAAGGCTCATCTCTCGTTGCCTCAGGCATTTCCTCCCTCCCCCCCCCTTTCCCTTCCGTTTGCTCCCACGCCCGTTCCCGTGCATGACATGCTGTGAAAATGGCGCACTTCTGAGGCGCCTCAAAAGTCACCCCCGCACCACCCACCTATCCTATCCTTCTGTTCCCATGCATGTCATGTGGTGCTGTGGTGGGAGTGCAGGCTGTTTGACTCGGCGCAAGCACGTGAGTGGTACCGAGAGGACGCAGTGGGGGCAGCCATAGCGCAGCACAACGTGTCCCGCAACCAACTCTTCCTCGTCTCCAAGGTGGGCTGCTGCTGGCCCCCCCGCACCTCCTCTTCGCACTCTCTTCTTTCCTCTTCTCGTCCCTCTTCCATCATCCCACGTCTCACTCTCTCACGTCTCTCGCCCACCCCCCACACGCCCCACCCTCTCCCTCCCCCCCGCAGCTGCACCCCCGGCACCCCGAGCATGCCATCACGCGGCTTCTAAATCAACTCATCCACTATCCGTCACCTCTCCCCCTCCTCTCCTTTCCCCACCACCCCCCCTCCCGCTCCCCCCAGCTGCACCCGCGGCATCACGGGCACGCCATCACACGCGAGCGCTTCTCCGACTCCCTGCGCGATCTCCGCGTGCCCTACCTCGACCTCTTCCTCCTGCACTACCCCTTCTGCTTCCCCGCCATCTGCGGGGACGCAGGGGCAGCGGCAGCGACGGGTGCGGGGTGGCTGGACAGCTGGCGGGCTCTGGAGGAGCTGTATCAGCGGGGAGCGGTGCGGGCGATCGGTGTGAGCAACTTTGGGCGAGACGAGCTGCTGGAGCTGATTGCACAGGCGGAGGTGAAACCGCACGTGCTGCAGAGGTGAGGAGTGGGGATGGGGAATGGGGAGTGGGGAGTGGGAAGTGAGGAGTAACCTGTGTGGTCAGGAAAGTCACCCTCTTTGCGCCTGGTACATAATTGCCTCTCCTTGATAAATTTTACTGCTCGCCCATCCCTTCTTCCCAGCCCATCGCCCTCCTCTCGCAGTCCCACCTGCCCGTCCCACGTCCTTCCTTCCCAAACCCACCCCCCTTCTCCGCCTCCGTAAACCCTTCCCTTGCCAGGAACTCCGACCCCCTACGAGCAGACAAGGACCTACAATCGCTCTGTGCTCAGCATGGCATCGCGTACATGGCCTACTCCTCCCTTGGCTCGCAGCACCTGATCTTCTCCGACTCGCCCTCCCACAACCCTGTCCTGGACCACCCGGTCATCAAAGCCATTGCTGCACGCCGTGCCTGCTCGCCCGCACAAGTGGTGCTCAAGTGGGGGTTGCTGAAGGGGCAGGTGGTGATTCCGAGGTCGCGCAATAAAGAGCATATACGGGAGAATCTTGAAGCGTGGCGGTGCGGGTTGGGGATGGGTGATGTGGCGGAGATTGATAGGCTGGATGGGACGGAGTGAGGGGGTGGGTGGGAGTGCGTAGGAAGTGGGTGAGGAGTGGGTGGGGAATGGTGAGCAGAGGGTAGGGAGTGGGGCCAGGCACCTCTCTCTGCCTGCATACTAAGATTTTTTGTTGTGAAACAGTGTCATATTGCAGCAAGTACAGTAACATCATTTACACTACTGCGCTTTATCTCAGGTCAGGACCAAAGACCTGTGTCATGGGCTGGTGCATGTGATGGAGTGCTGTCGTAATGCGAGGAATTTCAGCGATTCCACTTCCCGCCTTCTACCACCAACGGCTACTTCATGGAACCACATCATGGCGCTGTTCTGTAGGCGTTATTGCCTCCGCATTAAATGTACGGAACTTGTCCTTCCTTGTAGCTTCTGGCCGCACCAATTGCCTAATTTCTCAATTTGCTGGGGGTGTTGCCACGAAGCTCGCTCAAACTCTCGAGTCTCACAAATTGCTGCCCTGCATAACTTGTGTGCTGGCTGATGCTAGCTCTCGAGGCCGAATTGGCAGCGCACAAGTTAAGCGGACATTTGCCTGAAGATGCAACACCGTGGAACCTTTACCCCGTTGAATTTGTGTGCCCCAAGAGTGGCGTTCTGCAGGCTGAAGCGTTAAATTTGGCTCGAAAAGGTTTGGCAGGACAGCGCTTATCACCAAACCTTGATAGGCAGAAGCGCGCTTATCGGGGAAGATTCTGCGGACCCAGTTTCTGGCAATTTAACGCCTGCAGAACAACGCCCATAATCTCATCTGGAGCTAGACGGCTGATGCTTTCTGACGGCATTGACGGATCAACATCCTGCTTTGCTGGGTGAGCTTGACGTAGATCACGGAATCATCAATCACCGCGGCGACCAGTTTAGAAACCAGAAGTTGTGCGTCTGTTGAGCTGCGTCTGGTAGCCATTATAGTGAGTAGCTTTTGGCTTCTCCAGAAATTCGTGCGGGTTTTAGCTGACCTATAAACCATGGCTTCTCGTGCGCACATCAACAGGCTGTCTGACGACCTACTTATTAGAATACTATGGCGTACGTCCCAAACACCGGTATCCACTGCATTCGACGGTGATGCTACATACGACGATGCTACATACGACAATGCTAAATGCGACTCTTTATGTCCGAGCCAGAAATATTTCTGGACTAAAGATCCACCAGAGTACTCGAGCGATAGCGACTGTAACTCTCTCGTACCGACTCCTCCTGCCTTCACCGACGCAGCTCTTAGTCTCCTTATCGCTTCCGTCTGCCGTCGCTGGCGCCGTCTCTCCCAGCATTACGCGTCGACGCTTCTCGTCAGGGAAAATCTCGCCATTTCCCGCCATGACCTCGCCAACGCCGTCTCATGCTTCCCGAACCTCACCCACCTTCATCTGTGTGACGGCAGCGTGGAAACCCTAGACAACGCCTTCCTCTCCCACCTCGCGTCGTCATGCCCTCAGTTAAATTCTTCACGTGGGAAGCAGGATCACTAAAGATGCGGAAATCCAGGAGAGCAAGCACTTACACCCGATTACCGAAACCGGCTTGGATCAGCTCTTTCAGGGATGCACGCAGCTGGAGGTTATCTCATTCGACCGCCTTGGATCGGCTCTTCACCCGAACATCGTATTCCCGGCTTCGTTCTTCCAGCTCTCGCGGCTCCACACTCTCGTTCTCCCGGACGCGTCAACGCTGACCAACCCCGGCTTGTCGACCCTTTCGTCTCTTAGCTCGATCCGCTTAACCTCTCTGAACCTGATCTTTCACCATCTTGTGCATCTCGCTCAGCTGCCAAGGCTTACCAGCCTGGCCATCAGCTACGACCCTGAGGTAGAGGAACCAAGGGGGACGTTTTCCGTCTCACAGCTGCCGTTTCTCAAGTCGCTGCAGCTCGAGGGAGAGGTTTCTCCGTTCATCTTGTTTCTTCCCTCGGGATTGCCGTACTCCAGGCTGGAACGGCTGGTGATTGCGGGTTCCCACTTCCTTGACCGGCTTCCGGACGACCTTGGAGAGATTTTGCCGTGTCTCCGCGAGCTGACCCTTAGCTGGTGCACAGGACTCACGAGCCTGCCCGGAAATTTCACATCTCTGACGCAGTTGGAGAGCCTGAAAATCTCATCGTGCCTCCGGTTTTCCAGCCTGCCCGACAACTTTGGCCGCTTATCTGCCCTGAAAAGATTGGTGCTGCGGGATCAGCCACTAGCAAACCTCCCCGACTCTTTCGGGCGTCTCGAATCCCTGGAGACATTAACCATGTACATGCTTTCTCTCACGGAGCTTCCTGAATCCTTCGCCTATCTGACATCTTTAAAGACCCTGCTCGTGGTATGCTGCCGCAAAATCCGCCAGCTTCCAGCGAATTTCGGTCGCCTGGGAGCTCTCAAGACGCTGTGCATGGTGAAGCTGCCGCTACTGTGTCTTCCTGAGGGCTTGGAGGGAATGGTTGGCATACAGAGGATTTTCCCAGACTTTGTGTTCAACCTGCTGCAACTCCCCGGTTCACTTACCGAGCTGACCTCGTTGACCCGGCTTGACCTGGATCTGGTTTCAGATGAGAAGCTTCCCGAGGGGATTGGAAAACTGAATCAGCTGCGGCAGCTGAACATCCACTGCTGCTTCAATCTCAGGGAGATTCCAGAATCCGTGACAGGGCTGACTAATTTGGACACCCTCACCATTGGGATGTGCAGCGAGCTCGCGTCAGTTCCCAAGGAGCTGGAAGCCCTTGTAAAGCTCAGACGGCTGGAGCTGACTGGATGTCACAATGCCATCTGGCTGAACGGACCGCCTGTCTCTCTACCTTCCTCTCTAGAATCCCTGAGCCTTGGGAGCTACAATCAGTCCATTTTCATGCCGAACCTCCATTTGCTGCCAAATCTCAAGAAGCTGATTTTGAATCTGGTCAACGTTGAGGGTGGGGAAGCCGATGTGTCTGAACACAGCGCATTCCCCCAGTTAGTACATCTGGAGTTGGTGTTGGCGGAAGATGCGGAGGAGCTCGCATTCCCCTTGGCTTCTCTCCCCCAGCTGCGAATTCTGGTGATCTCCAGGGCTGGTAACATCGAGAAGCTTCCAGGAAGCATCGGCACGGATCTGAAGCAGCTCCGGCGTTTGCAGATAGAGAATGCTCCAGAGTTGATCATGCTGCCAGAAACGATCTCTCAGCTTCGCCACCTGACATCCTTGGTCGCTCATGCTCCAAAGCTCACTTCCCTTCCCGCCAGCATCGGTGCATTATCCAGGCTAAGGGAGCTCGATCTCTCTGACTGCTCTGCCCTGGAAGATCTCCCCGCTTCTCTCACCCAACTCGCCTGCCTGAACAAGCTGGATCTGGAAAACACCGGCATCCGCTCGCTTCCAGGAAACTTTGCGCAGTTGACCCGGCTCAAGAGCCTGGACCTGTACGGATGCACGAGATTGGAGAGCATGCCGGAAGATTTTTCTAGTCTCGACCTGCTGCAGTTTCTGAGGTCCGGTGGGTGCACGGATGAACTGAACAGTGAACGAGAGTGGGAGATAAGATACTGTGGCATGTATGGGGTAATATTTCAGCAGTAATAGTTGTGCATGTATTGCTTGGTTGTCTGATTTTAGTATTATTTGCACCGCATGAATGAGGTGTTTGTTGCTGAGCTCCTTGCGTTGGGAGGTACCGTGTTGGGTGTGTGCAACTGTGCTTCAATGGTCTAGAACAGTGGACGAGAAGGGGCTTGGATGAATGCTTTGGTGCATTGATAGTAACATGCCTTGCCAACTTGAAAAGCTTTAGGGGTCACTGCGTTGGGAGCTGCTGAAATTTGCTGGATACCAAGTAGAGTACCGCCCATAACAATTCACATATGGTAAACAGATTGCGTCTCAAGTGAGCGCAATAAAACCCATAAAGAGCGACAAAACCGAGAACGACACACAGCTTTGCTGCGATCAGAAGTTGATCGTGGCCTAGGATCTACTCAGGAAGGTTCGCACGCAGAGAAGTGATGTTGGTGGGCCCTTGACCTCAATAGCAGAGTGAATGTAAAATGCTTTGAGATAATAAACACGTGCAGTACAAGGAATATAAATATGAGTACAGGGGAATTCGAAACGACCTAACTAGCCATGTACTATAAGGGGTACATTCCCTTATTGCAGCGAAATCCAACCGTGCGACTCCGAGTGGTTACGTAACTGTTCGGGCAGAATCCTCGACACTGCTGCTGCCTGATGCTGTCTGCCCGACGGTCCAGATGCTCCTCGTAACCGTCTGTCCCTTCGCCTTTCTTCTACCTTTTCGTCTTCACGCTCGATAGTGCGTGCTTCGGCTTTGCTACGGTGAGGAGTGCACAGTAATATTTAAGTATTACTATTCGTAACACCCCCCTTCACTCCTGGCCGTAGCTCGACTTGACCTGCTTGACCACGCCGCTGAGTTCGGAGCAGTGCTGATACTGCTGGCGTGGCAGCCGTTTCGTGAGAAAGTCTGCTGCCATGTCACCGGTTGGGCAGTATGTCAGGTCAACTTTGCCTTTGTCAACTTCGTCCTTGACGAAGAAGTACCGCAGTGCGATGTGCTTGGTGCGGTTGACGAAGCCAGGTTTGTTCGCGATCCTGATCGCGCTCTGATTGTCGCAGTGCAGGCGAAAGTTCGTTGAGGCCGGAATTTTTGCTTCCTGCAGCAGTTCCTGAAGGTAGAGACCTTCGCGAACAGCTGCTGTTGCTGCGATAAATTCAGCTTCCGCCGATGACAGGGCAACCAACTCCTGCTTCTGAGAGTTCCAGGAGATGGGGCCGCTGGGCTCGAGGCGGAAGAGGAACCCTGTCCTGGACCGTCGATTGTCAGGGTCAGCGGCGTGATCGGCATCCACGTAGCCGACGAGACTGAAGGATGTGGTTGGGATGGTGGAATAACTGAGCCCGACATTGGGCGTGGAGATGAAGAATTGAAGGGCTCGCTGAAGATCTGAGAGATTCTCAGCCGTTGGTTTGCGTGAGTACTGAGCCAACTGGCTCGCAATGTAGGAGAGGTCGGGCCTGCAGGTAACAGATGCGAAAAGCAGGCATCCCAACTGCTGCTGGTAAGTGTGAAGCCCAGCAGGGGACAGGGCTTTGTTGTCAGGCTTGTGGTTGGGTCCTGGAGTGCGGTAAGGGGTGGAGAGTGGTGCAGGCGCAATGTTGAAGCGCTTGCTAAGCTCCTCCGCATACTTCGCTGCTGAGAGATGAATGGCTTCCGGCGAGTAGGTGATGTTGAGTCCGAGAAACTGCTTCACGTCATGATTGCAGGTGATGTCGACGCGCCCTGCGAGGCTTCTCTCAAACTGCTCGAGCAGTTCGTTGCTTGAGCCTGTGTAGAGAAGGTCGTCGACGTAGACCGTGAGGAGGATGTATTCGCCGCGGAAATCGCGGCGATACATTCCAGGATCGTGAGGCAGCTGCTTGAACCCGATTTCAAGCAGTATGTTGTGCAGGTACTGCTGCCAGAGTCTCGGTGCCTGTTTGATCCCATAGAGGGACTTGCGTAGCTGACAGACGCGTGGGTCTCCGTCGCCGTAAGTGTGTGGCTGTTCCACGTAGATCACGGCGTCCACTAATGCGTACAGGAACGCATTCTTCACATCGATCTGCCGGAGTGGTAGGTGTCGTGCGGCTGCGATG